GACGACCGACGAGGAGCAGACGAGCAGCTCAGGGCACGGCGACGGAGGGCGGCGAGCGAGCGAGGGGCAGCGCGGCCGCCTGCGGCCTCCAGGGGGCACCACGTGCAGGGCTCGCAGTGGTGGAGCACCTCTTGCCCGGGCGGCGGGCCCCCGTCCGCTCCGCAGGCGCGGCGCTCGCGCCGTTGCCTCCTCCGACGGCCGCGTCTGGGTAAGCCCCAACCGACTGGGCTTCCGCCATCTTCCGGCGGCGCGCACCCGCTGTCGCTTTGCCTCCGCCTGCTTGACCCTCCGCCGAGGGCGAAGGTGCGCCGAAGGCGATGGCCCTTTTCCGGAGCGCACCGCCCCCCTTGGAGGTCGCCCGCAGACGCCTAGTCTGGGGCCAGCATCCAAGAGCAGCGGGGCGGAGAAGGGGGAAGCCAAACCCAGCCGTGAGTGGCAACGCGCGATCAACGCTCAAACGCGGTTTCGGGAGCGAGTCGCAACGCGTGAGGCTGGAAGCACACACCCAAACCTCCGCCGTGCTATTTTGGAATGCCTGGGCCACTTGGAGCTCTCGCCCTCTTCAGCTGTGCGGTGAAGGAAGGACCCCCGCTGGCGGCAGTCACCCGAGGCTGTCGACCCGATCTTCCGCACCAAACTTCGCGACGTGGGCTGTGTCGGGCGGGCCGCGGGGCCCGACACGGTCCCCCAGTGGGCGTTCAGCCCTGGAGAGTCCGCAGCAGTGCCGTCGCCGCGCCGCGGCGTCCCGAACCCACCCTACCCAGCTCCTGGTAGGGCCCCTCCTCCTCCTCCTCCTCCTCCTCCTCCTCCTCCTCCTCCTCCTCCTCCCCTTCTCCTGGTAGGGCCCCCTCCTCCTCCTCCCCTCCTCCTCCTCCTCATCCTCCTTCCATCCTCCTCCTCCTCCTCCTCCTTCTCCTCCTCCTTCTCCTCCTCCTCCTGCTTCTCCTCCTCCGCCTCTTTCGCCTCCTTCTCCTCCTCCTCCTCCTCCTCCGTAGCCATTTGGGCTCAACATGCTTTTTGTGCCACAGAGGAACACGTGGATACCGCTAGTCCGCGGCAGTCGAGGCTGTTCAGCCTGGTTTCCAGTTCGGGAGACACGCACTCCGCCGTCGCGAGCGTGGCGGCGGTTCGAGCTCCCTCGCTCTGCTCTAAGCAATCATAGGGAAGGGCCAGCGTGATTGGCGCGCGCAGGGACAGCAGTTTGTGCCGTGCAGGGCCTGCGGCTACAGGTGGAACTTCGCCAAGAACACGTTTTGCTACGCGTGCCAAGGGCAGCTGCAGCCTCGTGTCCTTGCCGCCCGCCCGCCCGCTGGAGTCTGGGCTACCCACGGCGCAGGCAAAGGCGGCGGTGGTGGCGGCAAAGGCGGGAAAAGGGCCACGGGCTGCGGCGGCGCAGGGGGCAAGTGGCCTTCGACCTCGGCCCCGCCGTGGCGCTCCGCCCTCCCTGAGCGCAGCATCACCGACTCCATCATGTCCCCCGTCAGCGCGGTGAACATGGACGTGGACGACGCCAAGTACCTGGCCCTTCGCGAGGCGGCCGCGACCCTCGAGCCGAAGCCTCCAGCGCCGCCCGAGCGCCCCCCCTCGCAGCGGTTGCAGTCCGCCACCAGCCGCGAGGAAAACGCAGTCAAGAACATGGAGTGGTACCGCCGCCAGCACTGCGAGCTGGAGCGCGCTTGCCTGGCCGTGGCTGCCGCGCGCGAAGAGAAGCGGCAAGCCATGCAGGAGCAGCTGCCGCCCTCCTCCGCGCGCGCGCGCCCCCTCGGCCAAGTCTATCGTCTGGGAGGCCGTGGATCTCGACGACCTTGGGGACGTCGAGGAGGCCGCCAATGCGCTGCTGGCCGAGCAGGAGTCGTTCTGGGCGCAGGCCGAGGAGGCCAAGCGCGCGCTTGACGAGCGCGTGGCCATCTTCCTGCAGCGCAATAAGCAGGTCGCCGAGGAGGCCCACAAGAAACGCAGGCTCGGGCAGGCGGCGCCTCCGACGGCCCCAGCTGCCCCGCCGACGGCCCCAGCTGCCCCAGCTGAGGCAGGCCCCGCCACGGCCCCAGCTGCCCCCCCAACGCCTGGTGCGGCCGAGCAGCGCCCCGACGCCTCCGAGGCCGCAGCCGGCGGCGCCCCAGCCCCTGCGGCCCACCCCGCGGCGCCCCAGCCCCTGCGGCCACCCCCGGGCTGCAGGCCATCGCCCGCGAGCTGGCCCAGGCGCAGCTCGCCACCGGGCGCCTCCAGAGGGGGACAGGGCCCCCCAAGGTCGGCGGCGGGAGCAGCGCCGCGGCCGCACCCACTGCTGCGGCTACTACTCCTCGCTCTGGCGGCCCTTCTGGCGGGTGATGGCGCTGCGTCGCCCGCTGCGGCCAAGGCAGGCTGCCGCCGCGGGCGCGCGCGCAAGCCTGGGTCGGAGGCGCAGGTGGGGCCGTTCAGCGGCGCGATGCTGGCCGACGAAGGCGCGCTCGACGGCGATGGTGGGAGAAACTCGGCGAGCATGAGAACCTGCCTCTTGTCCGACTGGTGCTGGCCCAAGCCTCCAACGCCCTCCCACGGAATCGGCGCGGGATTTGCGGGGCTCGCTGGCCCCGCGTCCACCGCGAGGCCCAAGCCAGGTTCCACCTTCCCACCTGGCCACCTCGTGATGCAATGCCCAGGGGTTCCAACTCCTGGTGACGAGCACCTCCCTGACTCAAGGCTCGCCCGCGGCGGCCCCCCTGGTGGCGGCGCTACTGCCGCTTCCGCCACAGCCAAGGCTCCCCCCCCAATGTCGCCTCAGCTCCTGCGTCGACCACCGATGGGGGACCTCCAACCAGCGACGTCGACCGTGTCGGGTAGGGCGTCGGGCCTCGGGCTGCATCCAGATAGCTCCTTCTGACTGGCTGGCTGCCCCCATTCTGGGCCAGCAGTAGGCCCCGCGACGCGTGGGCCGTCGTCAACCAAGGGCGGATTCTTGGTGATCGCCACCCCCCGCGTTGGCCAAGTCGCGCGCGACCTCTGGGGCTGGCCTGGCACATGGGCCCGAGGCGTCGCCTGAGCGCTCGCCTTGCCCGCGGTCGGCAGCAAGCTGCTGGGTGTATGGCGAGAAGCCGCTGGCAGCGTTCCGCGAGGGCGGGCCAGGGCAGATGCAGGCTGCTGCAGGCGGCAGGAGCTCCACGTCGCTGTCGTCTCCTTAAAGAGGTTTCCTCCATCGGCTGGGCAGCTGTCCGCCCAAACAGCGCGGGCTGGAGGACGTAGCGGTCCACGCTCTCTGATCGCCGCCGCCTGCTGCGAGAGGGCCTCGACCGTCTCCGAGGGGTTCACACCGAGGCCCTGCCTGAGCTGCTCGATCTGTCGGGGCAGCCCGTCCACGAGCCCCTAAGGGCTGCCTCCAGAGAAGGCTGCCTCCGCTGCGCGCGCCTGCTGGCGCTCCGCCTCCTGGAGGGCAGCGCGCTGCTCCTCGAGCTCCTTCCTGGCCTGCTCGACCGCCTGCTGGCAGTCCGCCGCTGGCGGGCCTTGTGAAGCGCCTCCGGCGCCTCGGCCAGGGCGGACTCGGCGTCTAGCAGAGCTTTTTCCTTGCCGCGGACCCTGCCCTCCGCCTCGCCGGCGCGAAGCCCGCCGAGCGCAGGGCGGCTACCGTGGACCGCGCCGCCCGCTTGGCCTCCTGCTCCGCCTCGAGGGCCGCGTCGAGCAGACTCCCCTGTCTCGCGAGCCCCTCCTCCGACTCCTCGCGTGCCTCCGACGAGAGGCCGTCGAGCGGTCCCGCGAGGAACTTCACCAGCTGCTCGACCTCACGGCGGATGCCCTCCGAAGGGGCCTCAACTCCTCCTGGGGTGTCCGCGCGGGCTCCAGCGGCGCGCCCTTCGCCGCCACCCTTCGGGGAGCCGCGGGAGGCCTGCCACCCCGCAGCGCGGACCCTGCGGGCCGCAGCGCGCCCCCGGCCCCTGCACCACCCAACCAGCCGTCCGCGTCGGCGACGAGTGCGGGCGGTGCAACTGCTCCAGCCGGTGGGCTTCGGCTCAACCGCTCCGACCCCGGGCGGGGCGACCTGACCGCAGGCCCAGCACGCAGCGCGGGTGCACCAGCTCCACGCTCGGCATGCCGAACAGCACCAGTGCACGTCGTTCATGTCTACTCGTGCTCACTTCCAAACTGTGCTCGTTTCTGATTGCTCCTGGCCCCCCAGTGGCCAGGAAGAGGCCCAGCATAGAAGAGTTAGGAATGAAAGGACCTTGGCCCCCCCCCAAAACATCGAAGAACTTCCGAAGACTTAGACACGAGCAGTGTGTGCCTGCCCCAGCGCACACAGGGGGGGCTCCTGCTGCTGCCCCTGCCACCAGCTGCGGGCCTGCAGGGGCGGGCGCCCCGTGCCGAGTGCCCGCCGACTGCCGAAGCTCCAAGGACAAAACATTGCGTAAGCCTTTGGGGCGGACTCGCGGCCGTCGGGTGCGCCAATGGCCTTGAGCCAAAGTGGTCACGGGGGGCGGAGGCTTTGGACAAGGACCCCCTGGGCAGGGAGTCCAGGGTCTCGCGATCGATGGACGGCCAGTCCTGGGCCACCCACCCCGCCTCGAAACAAGCTGGGACGCGCCACGGTCTGGCCTTTCAGGGGTACATTCCTTATCCAATGCCCCCGACGTAGTCGCTTGAATACACGCTCTTTCTCTCTCTCTCTCTCTCTCTCTTTTTTGTTCCCCCCCCCGCTCTCTATTATACATGCGGCTGGTTCGCGTCGCGATGTCGCGCGCGTTGGTTTCCGACACCGCGAGGATCGTTCGATTTTGAACGATCGCGGCTCGTCGACAGCGCAGATGGTTCGACATTTGCCGATTTTGGGCCACTGGCGGCGTTTAACCTTGAACGCCCGCGCTGGGGTCCCTTCCGCGTCAACGCGGCGCAAACCTACCGTATCTTGCTCTGCCTCACATGCGGGGGCGCTGATGACAGGCTGGCACCAGTCGGTACGCCTTCACGCAGGCGTCGGGCTCCTCAGTCGGGCACGGCCCCCACTGGACTCCGCAGAATCCTTGCCTCACTCTCGCTCTCGCTCTCACCCTCGCTATCGCTCTGGCTCGCGCGTTCATTACCACGCTCACCCTCAACAATCTCAAATTCAATCTTGCTCGTCCTGTCTGTCTGTTCGTCTGCCTGTCTCTCTTTCTCTCTCCGCTTCGTCTCTCCGCATATCTGCCCTCTCTCTCCTCCTGCCCTGCTCGCTTGTTGTCTCTCTCCGTTTTTTTTCACTCTCTCTCTCTCTCTTTCTATCCCTCTGTTTCCCTCTCTCTATCTCTTCCTTTCTCCCCCCTCTCTAAGCATACAGATATATGTGTATATATATATATATATATAGATATTTGTAAATTTGTGCATGTCTATTAACATGTATGCATGTGCACCTATATAACCTCTTTCCCGTCATCGCTCTTGCTCGCGCGCTGTGCCTCTCCGTAACTGCTCGTCTGCTTGCGCCCAAACTCGAATCTGCGCCAGTCCACGCCTGCGCACGTGGCGACGAGCTGCTCCGCGTCCTTCCTCCTCCTCCCCCGCGTCCTTCCTCCTCCTCCTCCCCATCTGTCCCCCTGCTGCCCTCCCTATCTCTGTCCTCCGCACGTCCGCAGCGTCATCGTCGTCATCATCGTCATCATCGTCACCATCGTCACCATCGCCATCGGCGTGCCGCTCCCGCCTGCGCCCTCCCGTGTCCGTTTCGGCACACCCCTCTCGCGTTGCGTGGCCCCACGGGGACCTGGGTCGCCCCCAAGACGAGTTGTTCATCCTGGGTAGTTTTCCGACTGTCCCGGGGCCCAGCGAGGGCCCCCCAGCGACCGAGAAACAGCAAAAACCTTCCACGGTGGCGCGTTGGGCTGACGGCCGCTTACTCTCTCTCCCTCTCTCTCTCTCTTTTATCTCCCTCTCTCTGAATACATATATACATATACACATACACATATACATGTATATAAGTATACTAGAACCATCGCGCGCGCCTCGCGCGCGCGATGGTTCTAGCAGGCCCCAGGCCTTGACGATTTACTGCTCCACTGAAGTCATGGACCACAGATGACTTGAACGGGAAGCCAATACAGCAGTGAACGCATTATGGGCAATAATAAATCCATGCATGTCAATCCGCATTCCGGAAAACTTTCGGGGAAGATGGTTGCGTAGGGGGGCGGAGGCCTGGTGAATCGGATTTCCAGAAGGCCTTCTGGGAACATGGGTTTTGGTGGCGTCTTGGGGAGACTGTTGGGGCGTGCTGTCGTCGTCGACGTCATCGTAATGTCGTCGTTGCCTCTTGGGGCGCGCCGTCGTCGTCGTCGTCGTCGTCGTCGTCGTCGTCGTCGTCGTCGTCGTCGTCGTCGTCGTCCTCTTCTTCGTCGTTTCGTCGTCTTCTTCTTCTTCGTCGTCGTCGTCGTCATCGTCGTCGGTTCAAGAGGGCACTTGGGAAAACTTTGTGCGAAACGATCCGCGGAGGGCCGCGAGACGGCGATCAGTCATGTTCTCAGTCAACTTCCCGAACTCTCTGGTAGCGTGATGGTACTTCGGGGCCTCCAAAGACTCTCGGGCCCATGATGAACCATGTCCCGGAAGGCTTGCTGGGGACATGATTTATTGGGGTGTGTTGGGGGGCCTCTTGGGCGTTCCCTGGGGGCCCCTTGGGGGCCTCTTGGGGCTTACTGGGGGCCTCTTGGACGCCTCACGGGGCTTCGTGGGAGCCTCTTGGTGGCCTTCGGGGGCCCACTGGGCATCTAGGGGCCAGAGACCACGAAATATCGGTTCGCGGTCCCCCTCTGGGCCCCCTCTTGGGGCGCTCTTGGGGCATACCTGGGTTGTCTGGGGAGCCTCCTGGGCCGTCTTCGGGCCTGCTTCGGGGCCACGTGGGCCCTCTTGGAGCGATCTGAGGGGCCGCCAAGGCCGTGAGGGAGCGCTGGGAAGCGGGAAAAGCAGGAACGCCAACATCCTTCAAGAACCATCGGAAAATGCTTGACGTTTGCCTCCCAGGGCTTTCTTGGGGAGCCTCTCGAGTCCGTCCTGGGGCGTGTTGGGGTCCTCGTCGGCCGGCTTGAAGGCATCTTGGGCGTTCTTGGGGCCTCTTGGGACCGTCTGGGGCCCTCGTGGGATCCCCTTAGCCCTGTCGTGGCCTGTTCCGGGGGCGGGCCCCGGCCGTCTCGGGAGCTCTGGGACATCCCCAGAACCCCGGGGGGGCGCCCATGGAGGGTACAGGCGGCGGCCTGCCCCCCCACGGGGCCTACTTCTCTCTCTCTCTCTATATATATATGTGTGTATATATATATGTATATATATATATATATATATATATATACATATTCATTTATTCATATATATACACATATATAGATATATGTATATATATATATCTATATATATACACACGCACGCATATATATATATATATATACTAGTGTGGACCCGTGGATTAAAGCCACGGGGTTGCGCGGATCGAACTTTGGTTGCGAGTGCTGGGTTGTGCGACGCTGCCAGCTACTGCCGTAGATCCTGTGAAGCTTGTTCTGGTGCTGTTCCCCCACTGAGCGCCGCCAATGCACCGAACCGGGGGCCGAAGTGTTCGAGCTTCGCAAGAGGCAAAAGTTCAAGAGACCAAACCAGAGCAGCGTTGGAAGATATGCGTCGGGATCGCGGCGGACGCGGGAGCGGGTCGGGTCAAACGCGGCGCCGTCTCGGGCCGCGTCGGAAGCGTCGGAACGGCGTCGCGGCAAAATAGGGAGCGCAGACGGGCAGCGCCAGGGCCACTGGAGTGTAAAACATGTTTCTTTTGCGCCTGCGAAGGGCCTCTCGCCTCTCGTCCGCCCCTCTCTCTTGGAGGCAGTTTTGAAGCCTCTAGGGGGCCGTTTGGGAGCTCTATGGGGGCTCTTTTGGGCCTCTTTGGGGCTCCTCGGGGCCCTCTTGGGCCGTGTATGGCGCCTCTTGGGCCGTCTTGGGGCCGTCTTGGGCCACCTTGGGCGCCACTTGGGCCGTCTTGGGGCCATCTTGGGCTCTCTTGGGCCCCTTTTGGGCACCTCTTGGGGTCCTCTTGGGCCGTCTTGGGCGCCCCTTGGGCCGTCCTGGGGCCGTCTGAGCCATCTTTGGGCCCTCTTGGGGGCCGTCTTGGGCAATCTTGGAGGCCTCTGGGGCTGTCTTGGACGCTTCGTAAAGGAAAATGTCGAATCTGTCGACAATATGCATTTTACGAAGGGAATGTGGCCATTTTTGCTTGATGGAGCCCTCCTGGGGGAGCCTTCGGATCCCCCCGGAGCCGTCCGGGGGCGTCTTTGGGGCGTATGGGGCCGTCTGGAGAACATCTTGGGCCGCCTGAAAGCAGTCTTGGGTCGTCTCGGGGCCTCCGTAAGCCGTCTTGGGTTTTTCTGGGGAGCTCCGACGCCGTTTCGGACCCCTCCGGGGGCCTTCCGGTGCCGTTTTGGAGCCCCCGGGAGGCTCGGGGAGCCGGGGGCCCACGCAAACCCACAAGGCCTAATTCGAGTTTATCTAAATGGATATATACACACAGGTATTCCTCATCGAATATTTTGTAGCGGACCCCCCCCCTAACACCCCCCCGTACATGATTCGGCCCTGGGTGCTCCCACCGACGTCAAATTCGAATTTCGGTTTCGGGAGCCTCTCCCGGCCATCCCTGGACGGTCCCGCAAAGCCCCAAGGCGGCCCAAGACCGCTCCAGAACGGCTCATGAGCGCTCAAAGAGGCCTCAAGGTGGCTCCAAGACGGCCCAAGATGCTCTCAAGACGCCCCAAGAGGCCCCCAAGAGGACCCCCAAGAGGCAAACATCGCCCCATTTCCTGTGGAAAACGTGCGTTTTTAACATACTCCCTTTCTTAGTTGTAACAGCGTCCAAGACGACCGCGAAGGCCCAACATGTCCTCTTGACGCGTACATGTTTATCATGTCCGCTTCTTGAAGCGTACATGAAGCGTAAATCGTCCCATTCCCTTCTTGAACCGTACATTTTTAGCATGTCCGCTTTTTTGGCCTTCACCGCGTTCAAGACGGCCCAAGAGGCCCCAAAGATCGCCCCAGGACGGCCCAAGAAGTCCCCAAGGGAGCCCCAAGACAGCCCCAAAGGGCTCCAAAACGACCCAAGAGAGCCCCAAGACGGCCCCAAGGAGCACCACAAGGCTTCCCAGAGAGCCGCAAGAATGCCGCAAGAGGCCCCCAAGAAAAACCAAGAGGGCCCCAAGACGGCCCAAGCCCCCCAGGACGGCCCAAGAGGGTCCCAGGACGGCCCAGGAGGGCCGCCAGACAGCCCAAAAGAGTTTCAAAAGGAGCCCCACGAGAGCCCCGAGAGGCCATGCCCCTATCAGCCATATGAGACCTGTCGGCCCCACAAGCCCTACGACCACTATGGCGCCTATTGGTGCCCCATGAGCCCTGTGAGGCCTGGGAACCCTAACGCCTCCAGAGCTCTCGCCCCCACGCGCCGCGAGACCCCGAAAGGCCCCCAAACTAATAATCCAGATCACGGGTGTGCCGCCATGGACGGTGCGGCGGTATGCACACGTTGGCTCTTCACCGTCGGTGGAGCGGTGAGGCGGCATGCACGCGTTGCCTCTTCACCGTCGGTCGAGCTCCCTGGGGGGTGCGGTCCATGTGAGGGGACAATCGGCACACATGTGGTGACGTAGCTTTCTGCGGATCCTCCCAGGAAGACGGATCACAAGGGCCCCATGAGGGCCACGAGACGGCCGAAGGTGCCCCACTGCGAGCCGCAGGTGAAGCCCGCTCTCCTGGGGGAGAGGCACACAAGGAGAGGAGAAGGAGCAAGGATGTCGAAGGAGGGAGGAGGATGGAAACAGGGAGAGGCTGCCTTATGAGCCCTATGAGCCCTATGAACTTTATGAGCCCTATGAGCCCTATGAGCCCGATCACCCCCGATAAGCTTTATGAGCCTTATGAGCCCTATGAGCCCGATGACCCTTATGAGCCCTATGAGCCCCATGAGCCCTATGAG